GAAGTTACTAAGTGCTCTGAGCCTCAGTTTCTTCTCCTGGAAAATGGTGTATCTGGTGCTTATGGCTATTGTGAGACAGTGTATGAAGTGCCTAGATGCAGAGCATAAGCTCTGTGCAGACTATTCTGCTAGATGCGCTGCCTGGATCGTTAGAAAGGGTTTGCAGGCTGTGGAGTGCTCGACACCCAGTGCAGATCCTAGACGCAAGACCTCAGACTTTCTCAAAGGGTGAAGTTTACACTCTTGTGTGCAAACAAGACCCTTCGTTTGGCTGGCCAAAGGAGGTGGGAGTGGCGGTCTGTTTCAAAATTCTAACATCAGCGGTGTAGAAAACTGAGGTTTAGTGGCTAGTTGTGATCAGTGGAAAAGGGTAGAGTCTCAAAGAGGCAACTTCATGGTAAGGACAGTTCAAAACCAAATCTCCATGGTCTGGCACAGTGCTTACTAAATATTCGTGGAGTGAATGTAAGTTGGACACAGAAATCTCCACCTAACACCCCTGCCAGTTTTGGTTGTGTAGTGGCCTATGAGCAGACTGTGTAGCTGAGAACCCCAATCCCATGCCTCCTGATGACTTTCTGATAGCATTTTGACATAGCATTTTGAATGATCAATCACAGAAGTTTAAATCTGGAAGCAAATTTATAGCTCATATAGCTCACCCCTGGCTGACCAGGGTTTTAGGTGCAGACTAATGAATTGCTAGGTCTCTAGGCTCATGACGTGCCCCCTGCTCCTCGCTCTGTGCCTGGCCTCAGAGGAGGGGCTTTGTGAGCATCTGACTTTCTGGTCCTCATGTGAGTTTGTCTGCACCCCCACTGCTCTGCTCACTGCAGTCACAGATGGATCTCAAGACCGTTAGGCACTTATGCAAGATCGCGACAGAAAGAAATCCTCAGGGCATGAGGAATTTGGGCTCGATCATGTTGGCCTTTAACATGCCTAGAGCAATGGGACGGGCACCTTGGGACCGGTGGAATTCAAGACGCTCTGGCTCAAGATTCAGAAGTATCTGGTAACTCTCTCTGCCTCTCGGGCATCCTCTGGGCTCTGGTCCCTCTCCTCTGGTCTACCCCTCCCTTACACTCATTCCTGTCCTGTCTTGGACCCTAGTCTGACCAGATGCTTAATCACGGTCAAGGCCACCAAAGCCCGGGCACATTGTTCCAGAAGGAACAAGAGGGTGGTGAGCGATGCTCAGGCCAGTCCTTGCACTGAAAGCCCCGTGCAGAGGGCAAAGAGACCAGCACTGGCCCTCAGCCCACTCTCTTATCTGTGTTCTGAAACCTTCTTGGGAGGAGTCAGTGGGGCCTCTCCTTGCATGAGTACCTGGCCTTCTGAGGAAGCAGTGGGGTGGACGGAGATGGTGGGCAGGGGACACCAGCAGCTGTTTTCTACCTGGGATTTCTCTCCTGCTCTAGGAGATCTATCAGGAAACGGGTTATAACCACTTGGGAACCATAGATGCCCATGAGATGAGGACAGCCCTCAAGAAGGCAGGTGAGGATACGTCCTGTAGACAAGATCTTGTGACCCTGATGTGCCCATTTTTAGTATTTATTCTCATGATGATGATTGCTATGTTGGGTGTCAAGGACAACAAAGCTTTGTTGAGCACCTTCCCTATCCAGGAAGGAGAGAATGTTGCTGGATTCTATATAGTATAACACTTTAGAATTGTTCCAAGACTCTGCCTGTTACTGGGCAGGTGACTGCAGCTGCAGAGGAGGGGACTGTGAAGTAGATGGGCAGGGTCCAGCCAGACAGGCAGTCCCCTCATCTTCTCTACTTTCTCTTGCTGCAGCTAAAGTGGCCCAGGACTGGGTTAGTGGTGGCACTAGTATTGGATGAGGAACAAGCTAATCCTGATGAGTATCTAAGAGGAGATGGACTGGATGACAGGACATCTTCTGGGATCCCCGGGAGGAGGCCAAGTCAGGCCTGGTTTGCAGGTTTATATACTACCAAAAGGGGCCCTGTGATGTCAGCTCTTGAGCTTTTACTGGAGACAGTGCCGAGTCGTCCCCTCCACCTGTGACCCAGGCTCCTCTGCCCTCAGGTTTCAGCCTCAGCAACCAGGTGCAGCAGACCATCGCCACACGGTTTGCGTGCAGCAAACTCAAGGTTGACTTCGACAGCTTCGTTGCTTGTATGATCCGCCTGGAGACCCTCTTCAGTGAGTCTCCCTCTCCTTGAACCCCATCCCACTCCACCCAAGGCACAGGGAGTGGCGAGGGCAGGGTCAGGGGACAGGACCACACACACTGCCTTTGGGAGGCAACGGGGCCTGGGAGCCACAGATGGGGCTTCTGGAACTGAGGGGAAGCGGAAACTGAGGGGCTGAGGAAGTCCAAGCTGGCCACGCCCGGGTCTGAAGCTGCCTTCTCTCGGAGACTTAAACAGCTGCCATCCAGGTTATTATACACCTGCGTGTGCAGTGGCGAGGCCAAGATGTGAGTCCCAGTCATGATTCTCACATGGCTTTCGGTGTCTATTCACATTTATGCATCCATGGGAGCACGTGTCACCTTCCAGCGAGGGGATGGGGGCCCCTTTGGAAGGTAGCAGGTGTTCTCCTGCCACCTTGGGCCTTGGGGGCATGTGAAGGGAGAGGGTTTTCCTTCCACCGAGGACCAGAAGGTGGTAAGTTCTAGTGGGAAAAGGTCAGGCAGCCGGAGACCCACAAATGGGGTTGGCTCCACAACCCTGCCCCCGTTGGAATAGTTGCAAGTTCCTGACATGAAGCTTCTGAGGGTGGAGATGCCACAGGGACCATCTCTCTGACAACTCATTTGTCCGTCTGGGCAGGGGGACATCTGCTGCCAACAACGCTCACCCTGGGCTCGGGATCTAGATCTTTCCTTCCTAGGCCCCTGCGGCAGGTGGGAGCTGGAGGGGAGGGAGGGGGAAAGGGCGGTCCTCAGGTAGGAATGGGGTGGGCAGAGGCAGGAAGTTCAGGAGCAGCCCTGACTTCGTTCCCTCTCTGCTGTTTTAGAACTATTCAGGCTTCTGGACAAGGACCAGGAGGGCACCGTCCAGCTCTCTCTGGCTGAGGTAAATGGCCTGAGGTTTGATGACCTGCTTGCTGATGGTATTTTGAAAGTTTTGGACAGTTAGGTGTTTATTCCTACTGACTGTCTTACTTCTCTGTGAATACCACAGGTTCTGTGGTGGACACTGGGGGAGGAATGTGATCATTCGTGCAGACTTTCAAGTGTTTGTATTTATAATTATTGTCTTAAAGATAAAGCTACAGCTACATTTCAAGTCATTTCAAAGATACAAGCCCTTGTTCATTTGGATGAAGTTGTGGTGGACCAATTTAAAGTGTCCGATGTTTAGGACTAGGTGTCTTTGATTGACACATAGAAGGTCATTGGAAGCAAAACATGAAATTGCAGTAAGATAGAACAAAGAAGCCAAATACACAAATTCTTGCTGTGTACAAGCCGCACACCGCGCCACGCAGAGGCCACATGCAGGCCGCAGCCCTGCACTGCAGAGCCTTTATTGGCTGAGGGGACAGCAGGAGGTGTGGACATGTCCCCAGGGGCCAGACCAGGGGGAGGCATTGGCCCTTGCTCGACCTGCTTCTGAGGCAGCGGAGCTGGAGCACCAGGCTACTGCTGCCCTGCCAAGCTGTCTGGGCCCAACCGCTTTCTTTTCTCCTCTGAAATGGGAATGTCACTGACCCCTTTCCTGTGATCTAGGAAAGACCTTCTAGAAACATACCTGTGGATTCCTACAGACACCCGAACAATAGTGAGGAACCTCAAATGGAGTGTGTACACACACACACACACACACACACACATATATAAGAATATATAGATAAATATATAGGAATATACAAGTATATATACACATATAGGAAAAAACACATATGCATGAATATATATATGAATACACATACACACACCTGGATTTGGAAGCCCTTTTGGGTCTGGAGCTTTCTCTAAGTCACATTTCTGCAGTGTCCTGGCTCAGGAGCTAGTGACTTAGTTAAGGGCTTCCTCGCTTCTCGTGGTTGGCGCTTCTCGTGGTTGGCACTTCCGGCAGGATGGAGATAAAAAGACCATCTCCGTGTGGGGCAGGAGAGTGTGGCAAAAGCACAGCAGCTCCCCGAGGAGCCCCGAGCTCACCCTGTCTCTTTCCTTTGCAGTGGCTCTGCTGCGTGCTGGTCTGACCCAGGGTTCTGGACGGCGGTGACACCCCCTGCCTCCCTGCCTGCCCCTTTCTCCCCTTCCTCACAACTGTGTGCACATCTGTCCTCGAGTGACACTCATTGGTTAGTCATATCTTTCTTGGCTGTCGTGTTGCCTGAGATCCTGGCTGTCCCACCCGTGCAGGCTGGGCACCCTGCCTCCTGCAGCAGTGCTGCCATGAGCTGTCGAAGCCGCTCAGGGCCATGGACAGAAGGGCGTCCACTAAAGTCACCGGCCAGAACGGCATCCCCCTTCTCCAGTGAGGTGCTTCTGGGGAGCACCCCGGGCTTTTCATGCTTCAGGAAAGATGCTCTTGGGAAATGATACGGCCCAAAACTGCTGGAAGGTGGAGCATGTGGGCTGAGTTCTTGGAGGAGCAGCTTCTAGGACTGAGCTGCCTGTTGCCTCTGGGACGCCCTGGGGAAGGAGCCAGTGCTGGGAGAGCAGGACTTTCCTCCTCACCTGCAGATGGGGAAGGTGCTGTGCTGTGCTGAGGGGACTGTCACCTGACAAGCAGCTCAAGGGGAAATGCAATACAGGTTAGTTTTGCTTACAGCTGAGCACAGTGATCACTGCTATTGTTAAGAAATGACAAGCATAGTCACAGTGTCCTAGTGGGCAGATGGGTAGAGCTGTTCTTACATGCAGACTGTGGACACACATGCCTTGACCCTGCGTTAGCCTGATTAAAGATTAATTTTCCACTTCCAGAAGTAGAACTGATGAACGTTCCTTACAGGAATACGACTCACAAGTATGGCAAGACACCAGTCAGCTTTAACACTGCCTTCCAGTCCGCCAAGACCCAGGGGGAGGAGGGCCAGGTCCCTGACTGAAGAGGGGGTGAGAGCTCTGGGATCTCGCCCCTCAGGGCGTGGCTCTGGGATCACGGCACTGCAGGCAGGGCCCAGTGAATGTGGTGGTGGAGAAGCAGGAATGCGAGGGCACTTCAAAAAGTTCATGGAAACATAGACTTGAAATAGTAGGACTCTTTCCATGAACTTTTTGAAGACCTCTTGAATTTATTTTAGCAGCCTGTGGGTCCTCCCTGGTCCAGTCTGGGGCATGAGGGAGGGGTGGGGATGGAGCTCCCATCAGTGGGACTCTGCAGGTGTGCACCTCGCCTGCCTGCTCCACTGGGCCAGCTGGTGTTACTCCATACTCACCAACGTGTCCACCATGTCACAAGCTCCCACCCACCCCATTCTTTAAATATAGAGTGCTGCAAACCAGTTCTCCCTAAAGATAAAGTGCTATATTATAATCAACTTGCAACAGGTAGTTTTATTTTTAAGCCCTACAGGCTTCAATTACTTTAGGGAATAGTCCGGTAATCAAAAAAAAAAAAAAAAAAAAAGTTCTCATTACAGAATGTCACTTGTTTCGGGGGTCTTGGGTCCCAGGTAGGGTTGTCCTGGAGGCAGCATGCCAGTGCAGCCCATGAAGCAGGCTGAGGCTCCCAATGCTGCGTTCTGTCTGAGAGGCTTTCCTTTCACACACCTTGAAGGTTGCTTCATGCTCCCTTCTCCCCGGGTGAGAGCGGGGGGAGATGCTGCATTTAGGCATGGCCTCTGCCTTGCCCCTGGCTTTGGCTGCATCTCAGGAGAGACCAGGGCTTCTGGAATCCAGGGCTCCCACCGCATCCTGTGCCTCCTGCTCCAGAGCCTGCACCACACTTACTGCCTTAATGTGCAGACTTGCTGTCTTCCCTGCCCCAGTTGGAGAGTCCCTGGATGCAGATGGTGTTTTCCCGGTTCCCCCAGAGCCTAGAACAGTGCCTGGCACAAGTGGCCCTCAGTGAATGGGACTGTGTCCTTCCCTTGCGATGAGGAGGCTCTGTAGAGATGGGGTCCCACTTTGTCCTCCCAGCAGAGAGGATAGCTTTGTGCGATGAAACAGTAGTTTAGGCAATGCTGCTGATGTGCAGATTCATCAAAGCTGTGCCTGTGTCTGCAGGGAGGGTGGGGAGGGCTGGGGAGCTCTGGGAGAAGGTGTGGCACCTGCAGGGTACCCTGCTGAGCTGCTCACTCCCCTGGCTCCTCCCCACCCCCACAATGCCAGGAGCAAGGGAAGCTGAGGCCTGCAACCCATGCCAGCAGGTCTTTGATTTTTGCAGAGAATCCCACAGGAGCTCTCAGATTCCCCACCTTCTGTAAGGAGAACAAGGCAGCTCAGTGGTGGGCTACAGTCAGCCTGGAGAGATGACCATGGGGGTCTGGGTCACTCTTTTTCTATTGCACCCAGTCCTCCCTAGCCCGCAGGGCCAGTTGCACTGTTGAAAGTCATAGTGTGTTTCCTCCTTAGTGAAAGCAAGGAAGCTCAGGACACTGCACAGCCCCCAGACTCATCGGAGGCCTCCCGGGACATGGAAGTGACATTTGGGTGAGAGGCATTCTGGGTGTACCGAATATTCTGGGTAATTCTACAGCAACAGGCCGATTTCACAGAGTCCGCTTTTCCTGCTGAGAGTCACCCATTAGCTTTCTCCTCACATCCACCT